ATAGATTTGATAGATGTAGAGATATATAGATTAGAGAGAGAGACAGACAAACACGATAGATAGATGGGATAGGATAGGATAGGATAGGAAAGAAATAGATGATAGATAAGTTAGATAGGATAGACGGGATAGATTAGATAGGCAGTTAAAATAATAGAGAGAGAGAGAGACAGTTAATATAATGATAGATTAGATAGGTAGGTAAGATAATGATAAATTAGGGAGTGGGAGGTCTCCTTGGAGACGAGGCTTGTTTGCCCCTGGGCTGCATTTCAGCAATGTTTTGAAGACCATCTCTTCATCCCTTAAGCCCTGAATGTAGGGCACGGAAAACCATGGCAACGTGGCCAGTATTCACAGGATTAATAGTGGCTTTGTAACACTCGGCACGGTGCCAGTTTAATTCCAACACGGCAAAACTCAAACAAAAGAGCCCCCAATCCATCCCCACCTCCCTTCCTTTCCTTAAAACAACAATTTTTCCACATGGAAAAAGAAAAGTTTTTATCCGCGTATTGTTGGTTTTGTTGTTGTTTTAAACTTAACCCTTTAAGGAGGCTTGTGGCAGCCAGCCAGCTCTTGAACGACTGCAAAAGGCTGAACCAAGCACCAAAATGTTGGGATTCGTGGCTGTACAGGAACCTGTAAAGTAGGCCTCAACTTACGGAGCCCAACATTGATTGGTTGCTAAGCGAGACAGACCTTTGTGAGTTTTGCTCCATCGTATGGCTTTTCTTGCCACGTTCAATGAACGAGTCACTTGCAGGTATTAATTTATTAAGTGAATTGAGTTTTGATTACAATGACCATGGAGGGAGGGTGCTACAAAATTTGTCGCTGAAAAACAGTCCTAAGACCCCCCTTTTTTTTCCAGTGCCGTTGTAATTTCAAACGGTCCCTAAATGAACTGTTGTAAGTCGAGGCTATCTGTATTCCATTTCGTCTTCTCCAGGGGGTGGGGCTGGAAAGGTCTACACCGGTTCTGTCCTAAGCCTTCCCCAAAACACTTAAGTCAATTCTAAGTCCCAGCAAAAACCTCTTTTATTACGTTAATAATGTGAATTTATTTTGCTCACGGTCAGCCAACGGCTTGGCAAACAGTCTTGTTGAAGGTCTACTAATGAATCCTGGAAGGCTGCCCGGTTAATAGTTCCACACTCAGTGCTGACAAGGAAGGCCTGGGTTAGACAGACAAATCTTCATGAGGCTGGAATGAATGGATGAGCCAAGTTGTTTCTTGCAAAAGCCCCCTCCTCTTTCGCTTCTCTTTTAATCCTTGATGGGAGGGGCCCTTCATTGTCCACCTGTGGCCTTACTCCCACGTCAACCCTGAGTTCTTACTTGTGCCTTCCTTTCGGCAGCTGTGCGCGTGCGCAGGCTGGGAACCAGAAGCTGCCCCGCCTCTCTGCTCTCCGAGCCCGAAAGCAGCTGATGACTGGCCAGCCTGCCCTGGCCCCATCTTGGCCTCTGATGCAGAGCCCTCGTCCGAGCCTTCCTCAGCCTCCAGGACTAACCCATGCTCTTCCCCAATCTCCTCACTGTCCAACTCTGCTGCCGCTGGCGGGCTGCAACACCTGTTGCGCATCCCGGGGAACTGAAATGGTGGGAGTAGTAGAGAAAGAAAAGAGATCGATAGACGGTCCTTTGGCCTGGACAGTGTCCAGAGGAGATTCGAGAAAGGCAGCCAGGCTGGTACAATCATCGGTTGATTTCTGGTGTCAGAAGTGGGATAATTCTAGACACCCCTTTGCGGGGAAACGTAAGAAGGTTGTGGTCTTCTCATTGGAGCTGGGTAGTATGGGGAAGGTCAAAATGTGTAAATCCGTCAACTGTCCAGTTAGCAAATCCAGAAAAAAAAAAATGAACTCTTGGCACATAAAGTAGAAAACTGAGTAAGCCACAATTGGCACAGCAGAAGCAAAACCAGCTCTGGTTTTCGCACGCGAAAGCAAGCCTAGTTAATTCTCCGCTTTTCCCTACGGTCTACCCGCAGTCTGAAACGTTCTCCCGTCAACCCTGTTCATTTGGTTTTGAGAAACGGTCTGCGACGCCGGGCCAGCTGCTCGGGGGTGTCCTTGGGATGCCAGCGATGCCCCACAGGGCCGATAGAGGGAGGCTGGTATATCATTCTTCCCAAATTGCATCCCAGCCACCCCCCCTTCATGGTTATTTTCCAGCTGCAAGCAAAGAGGAAACGTAGGTGAACCAATTTGGACTCCATCCTTCTAGCAAAGCTGTAGAGGTTCTCCTGTTTTCGGCCCAGTTTGAGAGCCCAGGTGGCCCAGGGAGGCTTGGCTGAACATCTCCAGAACTTGTTCGGGTAGCCTAGGGTAACATTAAGGTGGGTCACCCCAGAAGATTGTCTTTTCTCTTCCCAGAAATGCATCAGCAGAGGAGAGCTACAGGTGTCCTTGTCCTACCAGCCTGTCACTCAGAGGATGACCGTCATGGTTCTGAAGGCGAGGCAGCTGCCCAAGATGGACATCACTGGTCTTTCAGGTAGAAGCTATTTTCTTCAGCCTATCGTTGGGTTTCTTCAAACGCCAGGGGGATTAAATTTTGGAGGACTGTCCCCAATGGTTGACCCCAGCCCATTAGGCCAGAGTTCCTCGACCTTTCTGGGCTGGTGGCCTGGACCAGGAGGGAAAGAGGGGGTGATCTTTGATGGAGACAGGCGCACATGTGTGCGAGCACCCGTGTGACGTTCATGGCGCGAGCGGGACCAGGGCTGTCTGCGATGATGCTCACGCAAAGAGGCGACAAGTATCTGCAAATGCTTGTGACGCCGCGTGCACGACTTGAGGCCAGAACGTCTGCAACACTCGCAGGAGTGGGGCCTTGCACCCACAGAGAGAGAGAGGTGCATGCACGCAGAGGCATACAAGCATGTGGCGATTAGACCAAAGCTTTGGTCAAGGGTCACAGCCCACAGGTTGAGAGCGGGGGGAGTCTCCTGCATTACGCAATCTTTTGTGAAGTTTTTGGTGCTCTGTGAAGTTGGAGGTTCAAGGTCTCCCCAGTTCAACCCTTAAGTTACGTAGTGTCTCTTCTGTTGATTTTACGTTTTGTATTTGTCTGTGAAAATTGTCTGGTCCTCCGGGTCACAAAGGTGTTTTTTTTTTTTTTTTCCCAAAAGGCAGCAGGACTCGATTTGGCCTTTAAGACATTTCGCTTCTCCTCCAAGCAGCTTCTTCGGTTCTGGCTGAAAGGTGGAGGATGGATGGATTTATATTCCTTGCAGTCCTCTGGTCGTTAGCACTCCCTCTGAGACTCTTTCCACCCTTAAGTCAGAACTGAAGAAGCTGCTTGGATGAGAAGCGAGATGTCTTCGAGAGAAAAAAAAACCCAAATCCAATTAGTTGCCTTTGGGGCGGGGGAAACCCCCACCTTTGGGGCAACACTTTGTAGTATTGTCTAGGTTTGCTTTAGGACCGCCACAAAAAGTCATAAAATCAGGTCCGTATGATCTATTTTTAGGAGTGTCACAACTTACAACAGTGAATGAGCAGGCTCTGTCTTGAAAGGCTACTTGTCGTCCACGACTTACGACCATAATGGAAGGCTGGCCCTTATAGTTGTAAGTCAAGCATGACATGTAACCTTTTAAGGTGGTGCCTGCCCATTCACTGTTGTAGGTGGTGATATTCCTAAAACCGATCAATCCACGTTATGGATCTGTGGTGAATAAATTGATTTTTGGTGAAAGAAATGGGGTAATTCTAGGCACCGGTTTCGGGAGAACATAAGGAGAATGCTGAAAGTGGTGTGCAGGCCTAGAGGTGGACCTCTCACCTCACGGACAGGTGAGTTCGATCCTAGGTAGAGGCAGATATTTCTCTGGGTGCACTGAGAATGTATTTGCTGGGAAATAAACTCCGTACTGGCAATAGGAAAGGCATCCGGCCAGTAAAAACACCTCCCTTGCCCGTGACTCCATCCCGCCAGGGATTCTGGGGGCCGTTAAAAGAGGATGATGATGAGAACGCTGTGGTGCTCTCATTGAAAGATGGAACTGAGCAGTTGTCCCGAGAACAGAAAGCCGCGAGGGGGAAGGCGGTCAGCCGGTCAACTGTCCAGTTTAGCAAATGCAGAAAAAGAAACTCCTGGGAGATAAAAGTGTAAAACGCTTGTTAAAGTTGAGGACTAGCTGCCAATCCCTTCACATCGGCCTGCGACTCCCCGGAGGAGCAGGCTGGTTCCTGGGCTGTGTTATTGGCCTTCTCTTCTTCTCCCCACCCTCAGATCCTTACGTCAAGGTGAACGTCTACTACGGCCGGAAGCGGATCGCGAAAAAGAAAACCCACGTGAAGAAGTGCACTTTGAACCCCGTCTTCAACGAGTCTTTCATCTACGACATCCCCGTTGATCTCCTGCCGGACGTCAGCATGGAATTCCTGGTCATCGACTTTGACCGGACCACCAAAAACGAAGTGGTCGGGCGGCTGATCCTGGGGGCGCATAGCGTCACGGCCGGAGGAGTGGAACACTGGCGGGAAGTGTGCGAAAACCCCCGGAAGCAGATAGCAAAGTGGCACAGCTTGAGCGAATATTAGCAGGGTACACGAGGAAGGCGCGGGGCGGGGAAGGGGGGGGAAGTCGATTCGCACCCGCGCCACCTTCAAGAGACGCTTTCCCCTCCCTTCTCCCCTCCCTGCCCCCCCCCCAAAAAAACGGCCCCTTCTATTTTAGCCGTAGAACTGACCGTTTCCGTAAGAAGCAGCTGAACTGGTTCTCTGTTGTGACGTTGTTTACAGGGCTCGCACACACACACACACAAAACCGTACACAGGTTCTGCAAACTGTGGGAAAGGAAAAAAAAGAAAAAGAGTGCATTAATTTTAAGAATACCTACAAAACCTATATTAAAAAAAAAAAAAAAGCAAGAGCGTAATCGCACTACTATTGCATGCCGAGTACAGACGTCGAGAAAAAAAAAAAACGCACAAAAAAAAATTTAGTATAAACTTAAACCAATATCGAGGCACAGGTTTTTGTTTGGTTTTTTTTAAATGCAATTTATCTGTCACTACGAGAAGTTGTGTTTTTGTGCTGAACAGTCTTTTGCAGGTATTCACAACTGGTTCTATTCAGCTTTTCTTCCAGACTTCCTTTTTTTAAGAAAAAAAAAATTACATACATATATATATATATATATATATATATATATACTTGTGTCGATTTGGTGGTTTATTCGCTTGCCCTTATCTCGGTTTAAGCCTCTTGCTGGTTTTTTTTCCTATGATTTGGGTGAATTAACTTCGCTTGTACATAACACGCAGTGGTTTTAGAGGCATTTGTCTTAACAAACACAATTTCCTTTTTGGAAGGGGAGCGTACAATAAATAAATAATAAGAAATGCCTGAATGGCAAGCGGCTGTTTAAAAAAAACAAAACCATTTCCTGTTAAAAAAACAAAAGTGGGATTAACTCAGCAACGGACATAATGATGTTATCAGCAAATTTTTTTGGGGGGGGGGCTAGGAAAAATTTCTGTGAGCTTTTTTCGCTGAATAAACTTTCAATTGAAGGAGGGGTTTTTTTTCTTCCTAATTTTAATTTTGCACTCAGAAGCAAAAGATGCGCCTTTTTTTCTTCCCTTTCAGAAAAAAAGAAACGCCTGGAATAGTTCTTAAGGAAAAGTGCTCAGGGTATAAATAGAGTTAGGGTTATTTTTCAGGGGCGCGGAGCCTTGGTTTTTGGTTTCGCTTGGACCCCTTCTTGGCATGCCAAATCGACAAGGCCGATGGGAGTTGTGATGCAGAAGGACCCATGGTTCCCACCCGTGTGTTTCCAGGCCTATGGAAACGGTTCTATTTCTCCGCAGGAGTAATGGAAAAACCAAGGGTGATTTCTTTCCTTTTTTTAAAGAAAAATAAGAATCATAAATCAAACTGCCACCATCGCCAGAAATACATGGGAATTCTTTTCGTGAAAGCTGCTTTACCATAAAATTTCCCCGAGATGTGAAATCTTTTTTTCCCCTCTCTCTCTCTTTTTGTTTTTCCGGTTGTCGTCCAGTTCTTCTTCCCCCCCTTTCCTCCTTTTCTTTCTACCTCGTGTCTGTTGTAAAAAATGATTTAGAAAAAAAAAAAAAAATTAAAAAGGAGCTTACAAACGAAGTTACGACTTTCGTGTCAAAACGAGGGAAACCCCCCCGGAAAAAAAATGGGAGAATAGTTGAGCCATGTACAACCGCATTAATGCTGTTATACTAACCTAACCAACATGTAACGCTATGTGTAACGTCAATATTGTTTTAATGCACACCCGGACATTCAAAATAAAAGATGGGAGTCACTTTACAATTTGTCGGTTGTGGTCGTTGAATTTAGCAGTTCACAACGTGCCAAAGTTGGCAATTCTCGTGCCATCGTGCCAAATGAAAAATTCTAGTTTGTATAAACTGGTAACGATCGACTCAAAAAAAATTTATAGGCCATCGTCAACTTACAGGAGTTGATTTGAGTGGCTACTGCAGCGGCGCTGAAAAATGTGACCATTTTTTCACACTTGCGACCCCATAGTCACGTGATCAAAATTCAGACGCCGTGTCAGCTTTGGAAGTCATATTGAGATTCGATGCTCCCATTGCTGGCACAATTGAGCCTGGGAAAGTGGGAGGGAGGAATGTATTTGAGTGTATCTAGTTAAGACCAAATAAAATCCTTTTGCTGGTTCAAGGTCATGTAGTGTGGCACATAGTGAAATGGAAATCTTACTTTGGGACGGATGGGGATTGGGCCACGTGATGTGATGATGGCTAAGGGAGGGAAGGATTTGTAGTTTTGACTTTTGCAAGGAAGCCCGAAACTTTCAGATTTGGGATTCCACAGATGTGCCAGTTACTATCCAAATAATGAACCTTTGAGAGATGTCTGACGGGGAGTTAGTTTAGTTAGTTTACTTGTCACTGCACTACAACAAAACCAAACACCATCTTCAGTGCACATCATGACCATGAAAATAAACACAAACACACATCCTTCACCCTTCACACATTGAACCGAAAATCCCTGACACTACACCAACACTGCACTACACAGCAGAATTCAAAAGAGCTACTGCCCTGGGATAGTTATCAGTTGGGATGGAGGATTGCTGGAATGCTGACGTGCTGGGCCACTGACTCGTAATTAGGACGGTTGCAACGTCCTCATTTATGACAGTTGCAGTGTCCATGACCCCTCGTTTGTGACCATCTGACAAAGTCAGCGGGGAAACCAGGTTCACTTAATGACAGCGTTGCTAATTTCACAACTGCAGGGATTCCCTTAACAAAGGTGGCAAGGAAAATCTCAAGAGCAAAAATGCACTTCACAAATTTCCCACATCAGCGTGGGGCTCCATGGTGTCGTAAATCAAAGACTACCTGTGTTTATTACATGTGACTTGCCACCCGTCTTGTCGTGAAAAGGACTCTGGACTCGGGCTTCCAGCATTAAAACATACAACATCCACAAAAAAATACATAATTTCTGAAACACTAAAAACGGAATGTCCCAAAGCTTGGGATTTATTTTTCCTTGAAGATGTTTTCGCTTCTCGTCTGGCGTAAAAGGATTTCCTTCCTGAGCATCGTGGGTTGGACTAGAAGACCTCCAAGGTCCCTTCCAATTCTGCTATTCTATCCCTCCAAGAAGCTTCTTCGCTACGGAAATGAAGATTTTTTTTTTTGGTTAACGCTAAAACAGGGACCAAGTTGGCTTTACTATTATTTTCCCTGCTCTTGCCGGATAAACCTTCCCAGATATTTTTTCCCGCTGTTGCAAGGTGGCGGCTTAAACCACGGGTCTTGTTTTGCAAGCTCGCCTCCCGGCTGTGCCACCAAGCGGCCTTTAGCGGCCTTGGCACTTCTGCCCATCACAAAAGCATCTCCCACTCAACGGGTTGTCTCCCCACCCCTCCCCCGCAACAGTCGGGCGCGCAGCCTCTCAACAAAACCATTACCTCATCCTTCCGCTGCTTTGCCAGCCGCCGCCACCTCCATGACAAGAGCCGCCAAACTCCCAGGAGAGACGGGAAAGGTTTGTTTTCTTCTCCTCTCCGAGCAGAAAGCCTGAGCTTTTTAAGCCAACAAGGAAAGGGGTTTTTGGTTTTCTTTGCCAGAAAGCCTGTAAGGAAAACAGAAGGGCCAAGGGGGTGTCTCTGCCCTCTTCGGCTAAAATTATCTATCTATCTATCTATCTATCTATCTATCTATCTATCTATCTATCTATCTATCTATCTAAACTATCATCTATCTACACTACCATCTATCTACAGTATCTATTAATCTACCTACCTACCTACAGTATCTATAATCTATTGTATCTATGTCTATCTACAGTATCTACCTATCTACAATATTTATCTATCTTATCTATCTATACTATCATCTATCTACACTATAATTGATCTGCAGTCTCTATCTACAGTATCTATTATGTATCTTATCATCTATCTAATCATCTATCTTAATCTACACTATCATCTATCTACACTATATCTACAGTATCTATCATCTATCTACAGTATATATCAATCTATTTATCTACCTACCTACAGTATCTAGTGTATCTATGTCTATTTACAGTATCTACCTACCTACAGTATCTATCATTTATCTTATCTAATCATCTATTTTATAATCTATCTACACTATCATCTTCTCTAGTATCTATCAACCTACCTACCTAATCTATCATTTATTGTATCTATCATCTACAGTACCTACCTAATTAACAGTATCTATTTTATCATCTATCTAATCATCTTATAATCTACACTATCATCTATCATCAATCTGCACTATATCTACAGTATCATCTATCTACACTATCAATCTATTTATCTACCTACCTACAGTATCTATCATCTTATCATCTAATCATCTATCTACACTATAATCTATCTACAATATCATCTGTCTAATCTACCTACCTACAGTATCTATCATCTATCTTATTATCTATCTATCTATCTATCTATCTATCTATCACTGAATATGAGCAATAGAAAACAACTGGATTGGTGGTTGTTTATGCACACGTACACACAAAGACAAGCGCACACACTTTTAACTCAGGACATGCTTCCTGCATTGGATGTTGTTGATCCCCCCAAAATACTTTTTTTTTTTCATTTAATGTTTTTAAAATAATTTGGCCCAGCTCATGACAGTCTTTGTGAGATTGTGCTGAACAGCCAACTACCCAGAAATCGACTGGCGTCGATTCTAGCAGCTTAGATTGAAATATGATTAACTATATTTTATGTTATCATGAACTTTATAGTTTTCAAGCACCAAAGAGCCTCCCTATAATTCATTACTTTTCAAGAATTTCGATGTATCTGCTGGGACAATCAGGAATATTCGATTTATCCCAAGGATGTTCCTCTGAAGCACAAAATTAATCTCCCATATAGTAGCTAGTCCTCGACTTAGAACGGTTCATTTAGCAACCAAAACCACACAACACTGAAAAAAGCAACCTACATCTGTTTTCACACAACTATTGCAGCGTCTCCGTTGTCACATGATCGAAATTCAGGAAGTTTGGCGACTGACTCGTACTTGTGAACAGTTTCAGTATTCCAGGGGTCACGTGATCCCTTTTTGCGACCTTCTGACAAACTCAATGGGGAAACCAGGTTCACTTTAACAACTGGATTACTAACTTAAGAACTGCAGTGATTCACTTAACAACAGTGGCAAGGAAGGTCGTAAAATGGGGTAAAACTCAACAAGTCTCACTTAGCAACATAAATTTGGGGCTCAATTATGGTCATAAGTTGAGGGCTCCCTGTATAGCTGACCAAAAATTGTAAAAAAAAAACCCCACTGCCCAAGGAGTCTATTAAAGGTTGCAGACCCCTATATTAAAGGATTACAGATTTTTTTTGTGGCAAATGAATGGTTGATATTTGAGTTTTAATTTTAAACTTGTTGCTGTGTTGCTTTCCAGGATTGGCAACTCACAATTTCACAATTCTTCTTCCACTCTCTTTCACGCCTAGCGTTAACGCACATTTTTGTCGTCAACTTTCAAGTTAAAGAAACAGAAGCTACGGCTTAAAAAAATATTTATTGTATCAAGTGCAATATATACGTGAACCAAAGACAGAAATTGTGTCCAAAGAAAGTGCTTAAAATTCAGATGTAATCATGCTAGGAAAGAAAGAAAAAATAAGATTTCACTATTAGCACCACAAAATACTGAATTCTGCTAAGGCACAAATTAAGAAAGCTGCTTTTTTTATTTTTAAAATTTGGCTTAAACAGCAGGCGTTGAATCCGCTACAATTCATTCTTGCTTCAAGTCATACAAAAAAATTTTTTTTTCTGGAATGAGAACTTGAAAAGTAAAAACAAAACAGAACTGAAATTGTGACACCTTCGGCCACAGAAGTTAGCAATGTTATTTACCCTGAACTACTGTAATCTCTTTTTTAAAAAACAAACAAACCCTGATGTATCTACCACATTATACTGTTATGTGATCATATAAAAATTAAAATTAGGTTTAATCTGCTTCTAAATTAATAGCTACGGAAAGTATCCAGCATTGTTCGTAACATTAATTTACTAATTTTAAATATACCGTATATTGCTACAGTCAATAAAATACATTCAAAAATAGCTCTTGCTAAATGGAATGCAGTATTCCTCTTCTCCAACTACCAAGTTCCTCGGAGTCTATAAATACATATGTATATCAAACACTATAACCGGTAACATTTGAAAACCCAACGTCATGAAAAATTTACTTAGAAGAAATATCTAAGGCTCGTTCAGTCTCTTAGGAAAATAATAATAATAATTAAAAAAACACCAGTTTCCATGATTTTCTCTCCTTTAAACAGGGACACTCGGCAAGGCCTTCCGTTTCCTGACTCCCTGTAAACCACACAGAACAATTACGAACACTTTGTAAAAAAAATGGCCCCAGAAATGTCATGTGGCTACTAAAACAGGAAGGAAGGACCCAGACCTGACACGCAGCCTGGAAAGGCCCCCTCTTTTTAAAGAGTTAATTCCATTTAAAGCAGGTTCTTTTCTTGTCCATGTTCACAAAATTTAAGAGACTGACTTGGGGGGGTGGGGGGGATTTCAAGACCACCGAGACAGACACACCTCTTACCTTCAACTAAGGGCCTTACTCAGACTCTTCCATTTCCAGGTGAGCCTCTCTCATTCCACCTGCCAGCCTCTCTAGCCAAACCTCCATATTCATTCCCTGTGGACTCCATTTTTTGGGGGGGTCCATCCACAAGGCACTCCAGGATGGAAAAGAAAAAGAAAAAAAAACCCCACCCAAATTCTTTAATTGAGAAAAGCAGATTGGCCCCTTTGGCTCAGTGCAGGCAAAATCTTTCTCAAGACTGCAAACCAACACGCCTTGTGAGAGTTAACGCTACAAATTTGACCCTGGTCTTCGCACAAGAGGAGTCAATGCCTTACCACCCTTCTCTGCCTACACAATCACCTCCCAAATTCAGTTTACCACTTGCTCTGTACCATGCTACAACTTTACACCTCCAATTAATCACGTCCCCTTAACTGCCTCTTGGCATCCCTTCCTTCCATTTCTCTTTCTCTCTCTCTCTCTCTTTCTTTCTCTCTCTCTCTCTCCAAAGTGATGGAATCCAACGTGAACCATCCAAATCCTGTGACATTTGTATGGTTCCCATTCCAACTTGGATCCGTGACTGTGACTTCTGAACATCCTCCCCGCCTTAAACCCCGTGTAACTTTTCTGCAAGACGAAGAAACAACTCCCCCCAGGATGGCCGTGGGGCCTTTGCAGCTGCTAACTCCCCGTTTCCTGCTGGAGCAGGGGGTTGGACTAGAAGACCTCCGAGGTTCCCTTCCCACTCCCTTCTTCCGTTAAAAAGTGGCGCAAACCACAGGAAAAGTTCTTACTTGGCCATGGAATCCCTGGCTCCGTTTTTCTGGATGCCCCACAGGAGGGCAGGAAAGAGGGGGAGCGGCTGTCACCAAAGAGGCGGCACGAGAAACGAGACGCCACAGCAAAATTTCCAAAAAAAAGAGTTAAAAGAGGCTGTGCGGTTGTTCCTCACTGCAACGAGGCCCGTCGGCACCTCCTTACCCCCCGCGTGAAAATTTTAAAACCTGGTTTTACGGTGTATCCCGTCTGCCCACCCCACAGGCTACAAAAATTTAGACTGCTTCTAAACGCCTTCCCATCTCCACCGGAAGCCAAGATGCCTAACCGTAGCTGGAAACACCCAACCCAGAATGAACTGGGACTGTTTTATATATATATATATATCTGCACAGATCAGGACTTCCCTTTACATGCTCGGCAGAAAGAGAAAGCGTTCAGGAAAACCTCTCAGGTAAAGGGAAGCCTTTTGGGGTGGGGTGGGGGATGAGAGGAGGGGGGGGGTTGTTTTCAGGTGACGGAGTTTTTCTTCTTGCAGAAAGGGGATTTCAAGACTTTCCAGACGCTCGGACGCGGCTTGGACTTCTTCTCCAGCGCCATGACGATCTCCTTCTCCTTCCGTCGGATTTCGCGGACCAGGGTGTGGAAGACGTCGTCGATGTAGTAGCGGAAGGCGGCGGAGGTCTCGAAGAAGGGGCAGCCGAATTCCTGGGCCAGCGCCGAGCCTTCGTCCTTGGAGACCTTGGAGCAAGAGAGGGCATGCCAGGGGAGGGGGGGGCGGGACAGTGAGGGAAATAAAAATGTGTAAGGGCAGTCCTCGACTTACGTGAGCTCATTTAGTCAACGTGCTAGCTGATGCTGTTTGTGAGGTTGTTCTAAACGGCTAAGTACCCGGAAAGAAACTGGCGTAGAATCTAGTTGTCAACTAAAAAAATAACTCCTTTGGTCCTTTTAGTTGCCAGCAGAGAGGGAGTAGGAGGGAAAGCAGCGCATTCCTTAAATGCTTCAGATAATCGTTAGGCAGCCGAAGCTGTTGGCGCGCAAGATTATTACTGGAGAGCATGATTGGTGACTCTTGGCTATGGATGTGTCTCATTTCAGAATATACATCCAGGGGGTGGAAGGAAGACCAGGGAAAAGGGGGAAATGAATGATGTGTCAAGTCAGCTGCAACCGGGAAACGCCGACATGTCAACTTCTAATAAATCTTTTTTTTTTTT